CCCCAAAACCCCAAAACCCCAAAACCCCAAAACCCCTCACCGCACATAAATAATGAAAGAAGATTATATTCTTAATTTAAGTAAATGAATAGCTCATCAGAGTCGAAAGAGCAAGAACAAGAGCAGGTGAACTCACCAACAGGTGAGGAGCAAATCAGCCTTGGTGGTGAAGAGGCCTCTTCAAAATCGGTGAGTTTTTATGAAAATTTTTGTGTCTTCACCAATCTTTTAATCGTTCGTGGTGATTTTTCTGATAAAAGAAGAGACCATTGGTGTCATATTTTGTTTCTTTGGTCAATCTATATCTTATTTATGAGTAAACCCATTCCCTTCATTGATGCAATACGATAAACTAACCATGGTTCTTCTTGAATGAGTTGTATCCTTATAATTACTTGGTTAAAGCTGCCATTCTTTACCCAAAATTTTGAAAATTTTTCATTCAATCAAATCTGATGATGGTGATTCTGAAGGAAGGAATCTATTCAATTAAATTTAATTTAAGCTGGTAATCTGATAGATCACTTTAAGTTTATTTCTACGACTTGAAAGATTTAAAACACCATGAAGGTCATTAAATAAATTTGAACATAAAGTTCGCAAAGTTCTGAATACAAAATATATCTATTACTTAAAGAGACCTGTGTGACGACAAATATAGAACAAGATATGCTCAAAGGATTATAGAACTGATTTTATTAAGGACAAAACTTTGTCAACAAAGATTATTGACAGCATTATCAGTGTGCACCTTGGTGAGCCTGATATAAAAGACGAAGCAAGCACTTATATGATTGAAATGCAACAAAATAAAGACGAAATTCTGAAAATTGCAAAGAAAAGCACCAAATTAAGTCTTCCTTGCTGCGAAAATCTTGACTTCTGGGATATCCCTGCGAAGAATAAGAAGATTGACAGATTTATGAACAAATCATTTCCAAATCAAGTTGATCTCTGCAGCTTTCAACATGCTGGCAATGTGGCAGTCCCAATAAAATTCTACTTGCGTACAATATGTACGCTCTCGACTAAGAGTCTCAAATCACTTGAAATTGGGAACTTTGAGATCACCAATTCACAATTAAAGAAACTAGTTGCTTCAATAAGACATACTGCCTGGGTGGCCTTTTCAAGCTGTATTCTGCTGACTGATGAGGAACCTGATTTACAAAAGTCTCTCAGGGGAGCCCAAATAGAAGAACTAAACTTTATATTCACTGGATCTTCTGAATATAGTGACTGGGGCAGAAATCTCAAAAGATTTCAAAATATCATCTCTGCTTTATCTAAAAGCATTGATGTTGAAAAGAACTTGAAAAGATTAATCGTAGAAGATTGAGGAATCTCTCAATACAAGATTAGAGAAATTTTAGACCTCTTTGGACTCACAACAGTCAAGGTGTTGTTTCATTAAAGCTAAATCCCCATCTTATGTCAACAGTAATAATTTAGTTTGGGGTTTTGGGGTTTTGGGGTTTTGGGGTTTTGGGGG